TATACAGTAAAATGACTTGAAAATTAATACAGTAATAGTCAGGGTCACAGTGAACAGGAATCAATTGAAAGAATGAGCAAACCTATAAAGGAAAGATTTTTATGAGTGTTTGAAAATGGGTAATGATGTAAAAGTGAAAGGATGCACTCAGATGCTTGGGGTGAATTTGGCTTTAATTTTCTCCAAAACCATACAGTAAAAAGACTTCAAAATCAATACAGTAATAGTCAGGGTCACTGTAAACGGGAATCAATTGAAAGAATGAACAAACCTATAAAGCAAATATTTTATGAGTGTTTGAAAATGGGTAATGGTGCAACTGCTGAAATGCACTTTGTTTTTTGGAGTGAATTTGCCATAAATTTTCTGCAAAACCATACAGTAAAAATACTTGAAAATTAATACAGTAATAGTCAGGGTCCCTGTAAATAGGAATCAACTGAAAGAATGAGCAAACCTATAAAGGAAAGATTTTTATGAGGGTTTGAAAATGGGTAATGATGTAAAAGTGAAAGGATGCACTTGGATGCTTGGGCTGAATTTGGCTTTAATTGTCTCCAAAACCATACAGTAAAAGACTTCAAAATCAATACAGTAATAGTCAGGGTCACTGTGAACAGGAATCAATTGACAGAACGAGCAAACCTATAAAGGAAAGATTTTTATGAGTGTTTGAAAATGGGTAATGATGTAAAAGTGAAAGGATGCACTCAAGATGCTTGGGGTGAATTTGGCTTTAATTTTCTCCAAAACAATACAGTAAAAAGACTTCAAAATCAATACAGTAATAGCCAGGGTCACTGTAAACGGGAATCAATTGACAGAACAAGCAAACCTATAAAGCAAATATTTTTATGAGTGTTTGAAAATGGGTAATGGTGCAACTGCTGAAATGCACTTTGTTTTTTTGGAGTGAATTTGCCATACATTTTCTGCAAAACTATACAGTAAAAAGTCTTGAAAATTAATACAGTAATAGTCAGGGTTCATGTAAATAGGAATCAATTGAAAGAATGAGCAAACCTATAAAGGCAATATTTTTATTAGGGTTTGAAAATGGGTAATGATGTAAAAGTGAAAGGATGCACTCGGATGCTTGGGGTGAATTTGGCTTTAATTTTCTCCAAAACCATACAGTAAAAGACTTCAAAATCAATACAGTAATAGTCAGTGTCACTGTGAACGGGAATCAATTGAAAGAATGAGCAAACCTATAAATAAAAGATTTTTATGTGGGTTTGAAAATGGGACATGATGTAAAAGTACTTATGCTTGGGGTGAATTTGCCTTTAATTTTCTCCAAAACTATACA